TATATTAGTCAATACCTTTAGTCTTGCAAATGACAAGTTTATTTCAAACTATATAAGCACCAAAAAGTCTATAGACTCGTATAGTTGGGAAGTCTAAGGAAAAACTAGTTTGCCTCTGTTTCACTTCATGCGTGGCCTTCATTCTCAGTTTCTCTCTAGACACTCTGGATATTGAAATCCCAAAATTACATAAGTACAACTCATGGTACAAAAGAGAGATCATTTCTTTTTCATTATCCATATATCAAATTTCAATCCCTGTTTGAGTCCTCTGACTATCCTTTAACTAATTAAGCCAAGAGCTCAAATTGACCATCCTGGGACACATGCCCATCCAGTAAGAGAATGTAGAACAAAGGACAATGTGGGACATGAGGGATGGGTCCAGGTTTGTTTCTTAAATATAAAACGAGGTCTTGGTATTTGAAGAAAGGAAAACGCTGAGAAGGCAAAAATGACAGACACAAGCTCTGAAATGAATCCAAGTTCTCAGGGCTATATGGGCAACAAAGTCCGGATCCAAAGCTGGTTTTCTGACATAGAGTGTAGTGTGTTTTTCCCCTAGAGAAAAAGTTGTTTCAAAAAAGAAAAATGCCATGTTGATTAGTGGCTTTTCATGTCAAATTACCTTGAAAACCAAAACAATGACTTTTGACTCCATAAATGCAAGGACAATTTCCAGATGCTTTCTCTTCTGAGCCACACAAATCCCCCTTCAAAACTGAAGCACTTATTCCCCCAGCTGCTCAATGCTGACAGCTGACTGCCCTCCCTAGGAATTGCCCTCAGCTGAGGGAAGCTCCAAAGCCACAGTCAATGCAGGGTTATAAAGGCCCTCCTCCCACCTGCCCTCACTTGGAGGATTCTGAGAGCCGTCCCTCTTCAGAAGTCTGCTCAGGCCTCTGTTGAGGCTGCATCACAGCTCTCCCTCGGATGACTCTTCCTCTCCTTGTGTAAGTGTTACTTTTGAGAGCAGTCCCTACTCAACTTCCTGTTCTCCTGTCTGAATCTCAAAGTCTCCTTCCCTGGGAACCCAATCTTTTTCAGCTTAGTAGGTTTTTCTTGGGCCTGTAGGAAATTAGAGTGAGATGAAATAGTAACTGAAAGGGAAAGGTATTTATATGTTTATGTTTCTTAATATTTTCACTTAAAATGTCCCTCTCTTTTTATTCACTAAATATTCCTGTATTTATTTTTTTCTAATTGTTTACTAGGGTAACATTGGTTAATAACGTAAGTTTTAGGTGTACAGTTCTATCTTCAAAGCCAGCAATGTCGCCCCTCTCTAAAGTTTTCCAAAAGTCAACTCACTCCTCAGTAGTCAGATGTCCCTTTGACTCCCCTCTTCTGCTTCCTTCTTCCAATTTAAGGAGGCTATGATGACATAGACCCATCCAAATAACACGAGATCTCTCTCCATCTTAAGGTCGGGTGATTAAGAGCTTTAATGCCATCTGGAGCATGAATTCCTCTTTGCCAGTTAATATAACATGTTCACAGAATCCAGGGATTAGGATTTGGGCATCTTTGGAAGGTCATTATTCTGGCTACCACAGTTTCTTTATAGTGCCCAGTAAAAAGTCTTTTTTTTCCCCCCTAATTTTATGTGTACCAGTAATAGCTCAATTAATGAGCCTTCTACCACTTGCTGTTATGTAATTATCTGGTCAGTAAAATTAGTTACCACTGGGAACTACTGAACTGAAACTATGATTTAATTTTCTGCTATCAGGAAATAGCACTTAGCCATACCCACAGGACTGGCTGCTCCTTGCGGGCAGGTTCTATGTCTTGCCTTTTTATTTCTGTAATCTTTATCTTCATTTCCTGCTAACTACTATGCATACAGATATTGTAGCTAAATAATTGTGCTAGTTGTTATGTTCATGAACTGACAAAATCAAAGGCCCACTCTTTAAATGACTTCCACAGAGCAGCTGATAGACATCATGATCCAGATTCTTCTCGTGTCAGACTTCCCCGTTGCTACATATCATGGGTGTTTGGTGTTGTCCTCACACAAGCAAAGCTATTATTATTTAACTCCTGCATTCCAAGGGTCTAAAACATTATGCTCGCTGTTGTGGGTAGCTAACCATCAGTGCATTCCAGGCAATTCTGCCCTATTGGTCGGGGGAGGTTACTCTTAGCAAGTCATTATGTACTATTATTACTAATCATCAGTACTATGTGTTAGACCCTACTCTGGATTTTGCACATGCATGCACACACACTAATCTAATCTTACAAAACATCTATGAAACATTTTTTTTTATTTACAGATTAGAAGAATTTTTAAAAGTTTTACAATCACGTATATGTAGGCAGTAATAATCAGAGTTGTGGACTAAGGAACCGGAAGGATACCAGCAATCCTTTATCAAATCACTTTTCTGGCAAACAATAAATAAATATATATGGCCTTCTGTTCAAAAATAAAAGCTAAAAAATGTCAGACTGTTTTAAGTCAGTGGGAAATCATTGGCAATTTCAATTTGAATCATACTATCTAAGAAGGCACTCAGACTGTGTTTCATTCTGCACACTTGGCCTGTCATCCACTTAGATCCTCTACTGAAAACTTTCAGTAGATTAAAACTATATGTAAAATAAAATCAAAACCTGTTTCCATCAACAGAGTCACAAAATTGGACCTCCTCCCTACTCAGTGTCACCTGCCCCGCTCTCCTCACTAACTGGGCTACACCCGCCCTGGAAACCTGTAAGGACTGCGAACACAAGCTCTGGCTGCCTTGGGGCATTTTTCCATGCTGTTGTCTTCACTTCTTATCCCTTTGTCTGGGTATCATCTTCAATCCTTCAGATTAGTTTAAATACCAGTTTTCCAGAGCAAATTTCCTTGAGCATAGATCTCCCTCCCCACCCTGTCATTATCTCCCAGAGCGCCCTTACTGTTTTCTTCCATGCAATTAGTGTTATTTGTATGTATTAGGGCATTTACTCGTTTATTATCTGTTGTAATGTGGAGAAGGATGTTCACTGTTGTACGGGTATTCCTTGCACACAGCATTATGCAATAGGCATTTTTTTGCAACCGTTGTTTTTCCCTCAAAGTTAAGATATGAAATTGCACTGGTATATTATTCATGTGAACAGAACATTTCTTAGAACATAAATGATCTGGAGCCTTACGCTCTGGTAACTGTTTACTGAGGATCTTTATTTCAATGCATTTTTGGTTTTGTTTGTCTTATATTTAGATTCACATTTAAGTGATTCAAACTAAAAAAAAAAAAAAACAACTTACAATTCAAAATCAAAGATCTGCTGGACATGTATTTTAAAGGCATATTGGTTCTGGGATGGGACCCAGGCTCCCATATTTTTAATAAGATCTCTAAGTCATTTTGATTCACACCGAAGTCTGAGAATGCCTGATTGAGTGTGTACATAGTCCTGTTACATGTCTACTGGTGTCTGCTAAATTGCATCAGATTGAACCTTGTATTTAATTTATTTAATCTTACACCATTAGGTACTTTCTGACTTGGATATTTAATGAGTACATAATACCTTTATTATTCCAACTCTTTTACCTCTTGTTCTGCTCTAGATAAGGCTTTCTTCTTTTAAGCTGCTATGATGTTGACATCCTGGGTTATAATATAATTAGCAATAAAGTATATAGGGTAGGATTTATACAGTTATATATTTTGGAAGACTTTGAGAGTCATCCAATAACAATATATGTTTATAATAATTGTTTTAAAATAAAACTAATTATAAGAAGAAAGCACAGTTTTATTTATAATTTGTAAACTTACAAATATAAAATTTTGTTATGAGCAAATGTCAGTTTCCAAATTTGTGGCTATCTGTTTTCTTGTTAATGGATCTATATATTTCTTTTAATTGTTGCTGTATTAAAAAATACATGAGCTAATTATTGCCCTCAAGAGGCAATTTTTACATGCATGCATTCAAGCACAATTAGGAATTTGGAGATATAGTCCATTCATAATAAGCAACACACAATCCCATTTATTTCTTATCCTTCACCAGTTTTTTTCCTTTAAACATTTTATGTCATGGACATATACAGAAAAGAATGTATAATTTATTACATAGTAAAAGCAACTCTGCTACATTCAGATTATGTTTTGCAAGGTACATTTTCCAATTATATTTATCAATGTTCAAATCCCTTCTTCTATAAACAGTCAATGTGGTACTAGGAAGAAATATTTGTAACATTTTAGACACTTATTGTTACTTAAATATATATGTCAAGGTACAAATTTGTAAATACTTTATTTAGGCTGGATTTTACCCTCCTTATTTAAATGTGAAATGGCTATAATTTTTATTTGACAATCTTTCAGAAATTGCTTATTTTTGAATGAGTGTGTGAATATTTAGTTAAATTTTGTTTTACCTACAAAGTAAATGTCCCATACTCCTGAAAACTGTCTCCTACCAAGTTTGCCAGATTTTTAAAATAGACAAAACTGTAGCTGTTTGTTTGTGTTCTAAGTGACCTGAAAACCTTTGAAGATAACCTCTGAAAACCCTTCTTCTGTTTAGAGTGTAAATATCAACTTTGGTGATATTGTTGCTTTATTTTAATAAATGTCAGTAATCTTGATTCAGATTCAACTGCCATTAATGATGTTCATGTTTTACTAGAGGTTACTATCACTTCCTTTGCTGAGCAAAATAAGAAATGCAGTTTTCTGATCTATCATTTGCTTTAAGGAAATGAAGACCCAGTCCTAACATTTTTCCATAGGTGGGATAATTTAGAACGCTCAGTGGAGAGAAAGAAATTCATTTTAATAATAACAATTCCTACATTTTTCATGTAAATGCATTAAATCATACTAAAACTTAAACATATTTGAGAATTCCATCAACTACTCAATCGGTAGTTGTAGGCAGCCTACAATATTGAATACTAAACTATTCTGATATAAGTGAAATTGCTTTTATCTCCCTTCCATGCTCTAATTCACACTTTGATGGGCTTTTGATGTCCCTAGATATCCGTGGGATACAGGAGTTTTTGGACAAAGTGTCTCAGCAGGGGATGGATGTCGCACTTCAGAAAGTAGAAAACAACATCAATAAAATGATCACCACTCTCTTTGACACCATGAGAATAGAGGAATTGAATCGCTATCGAGACACTCTTAGGAGAGCCATCCTTGTTATGAATCCTGCCACGGCCAAATCCTTCATTACTGAGGTAAGTGAAACTTATCAAGGTGCGGGGGTAAGTGGAAAAATTAATTGTGTTGGAATAGACCCCACAGAGGAGTTGAAAATGAAGAGCAGTGAGAGGGAATTAACCACACAACTCTCATTAGCACTAATGGAGGTAGCACAGTGAATTCCTGGCTCATAGCATTTACCCCGTGCTGCCCAGTTAATTGCTAAGAATATTTGCATTTGTATATATTTAGGCACATAGCCAGGATGATTTTAAAAATCTTATGGGGGTTTAACAGTGCTGTTGACCTGAATGAATCTAACAAGTTCAAGAATGAATTCAAAAGTACACAGTTCTCTAACCCTTAATTTTTTTTATGCAAGTTAAAATTTTATTTCTGAGAAAAAAATTTACTTGAGTCAGACTATCGTTGTCTGTGCATGATGATTTTACAAAGGCATATAGCAAATTTACTTCTGTGTGAACTCTGTACTAAGACAAATAATTAAAACTGTCTAAAATTCTGCAAAGTGATGACCACTGCACATTTTATGATGCTGCATCCTCAGAGTTTTAATTGCATGTGTTCATTTGGCTAGAAGCTATGAAACTTTGTAAAAATACAATGACGACTTTGTAATGATTGGTATAATGTCTCTACATTCTAAAATGTTTACTATTGCCTTGCAAAGGATTATTGTCAAGTCATTTTTGCCTTCAAGTTTAATTTTATATAGTGCTAGAACTGGTCATAACATAACATGTTTTAACATGGGTTTTATTATTAGTGTTTTAAATTGTGGTGACTTTTTTTGACTAATACTTTGTTTCCACTTCTCCATTATGCTTTCTTTAGCTCCCAAAGTACTGTGTTAAAGCCTCCAAATTAAGAACGTGTTAGAAGTTCTATGACACTCTATAAATAATTGGTATCAAGGAACTGAAACAGAATATAAATCACTGAGAAGAATTAAAACTTTTTGGGAAATGCCAATAATGCCAATTTTTTAAAAATTTTAATAGAGAACTTTGTTATTTAGTTAAGGACAAATATAGGACTTTTACCTTTTCTTGTCTAGCAACTGACAGAGAGAGTCTCATTGAACAACTAGAATTTTCTGCAATAGAAAGAATATTTCCAATTTTACAGGGTTTGGTGCTTTCCTTTAAGAAATACAAAATCTGCTAGAAGATTGAAGGGAAATACACAAAGATGCATAATATAAATTGCAATCTTAAAATTATACTAAATGAGGTTGAAGATTCTGTGCTCATTTCTGGCTGAGGAGATCAGAGAAGGCTTCATTGAGAAGACACATTTGACCTGGACTTAGTGTCATGAGTAGAAATTCACAAAACAGATGTGATGTGTAACAGATAAATACAAGTCTATGTCAGCTGCTTTCTGGTCATGGGGTACTGGCAAATTGCTTAAAATTTCAGAGCCTCCATTTTGTCACCAATAAAATAGGACTAATATATTGATTTCAGCATATTAAAAGAGCCTTTTACTAAAGCAGGGAGGCAAGTATATAGAGCAGGGGAGACATAGGAGGAGCAGGTCAGGGGAGAAGGTGAAGACATCTGTGTTGGACATGTCGAGTATGCGCCATTTAAATCACATATTATGTTATTTAATCCTTAGCATTTTCCTCATGCTCAAATAAATACATATTCAGTAAACATTTGGATAAATGATTTGAATGTTCAACAGAGCTCAGGTCTTAAGAAAGATGAAACAGTAGGTCAAGTAAGGGAAAAGACAGAATTGAAGACCAGGCACAGGCAAGGAAATAAGACCTAACAAAGGAAACCAAGGAAAGCCTAAGATACCTTGCAGGGAAAAGCAAAGTAGACAAAAGTAAAAAAGCTTCTACAAAGCAAAGCGGGATATATACCAACATGATATTGCTGAAAAATTGCCAAATGAAATAAGGGATGAAGTGTATGAAATTGAAAAATCTGCAAATCTTGTTATTTAGCAATAGCAAGTTCTTTTGTGAGTTAGAAATGAAGCTAGAGTTCTGTGTTGAATGGTATGTGTGTGATGAGAAAAAGAAAACAGTGAATATTGCCCAAGAAGTTGGATGAAAATTGCCAGAAAGAGCTAGGGAATAGAAAAGCCTGTAGATGAGATTGTTTGACACTGAGATCCCTTTAAAACCTTGCACATGGAAGAAATCTCTGAAGGGGAAGATATAAAGAATATAATAGAAAGGGCTATAAATGAAATCTCAGAGAATCTCTACTAATTTTGCAAAGTGTGAAAAAATATGCAGGCAAGGGCCAAAAGATAGTCTAAAATGTAGGGGGAGAACCCAGACACTGGTATGTCATGGGCCCTAAGTGTCTTGAAAAAAAAAAATGTAGATATTGGAGTTAAACATTTTAAGATGGAAACTCAAAAAAGATGTTTGTGTTGAGGAGCCAAAAAAATTCTTAAGAATGGCAGAGAATGGAGCAAGATTGCAAAGGTTCATGGAGGGAATTAATGGAGGTTGACTACTAAAGAAGTTTGGTGATAAAAGTAAAAATAAATTATGGGTGAAATATTTTTTAAAAGTTGATGGATATCAAAAAAAGGAAAATCTGTTTCATTTTTGGGATAGAAACTAAAGGCTTTTTACACAGGTCTTAGGAAAGAACCAGTGCAAGAGGAGTGATAGTAGATCAGAGAAGGTATTTAGTGAGACAATATCCCAGAATGTTAGACCTCAGGAATCTCTATCAGGGAAGTGCTACCCATGACCAGTAACCTGAAATTGCTGTTTCAAGGTAAATCAGTTAGACTTTGTTAATTTTCTTTAACCACCTTTGTATTATTGATAATCAGTTTTAACCAATATGATCTTGACTTGTATTCTGACCATGACCCCTTATTCTTGACTCCAAACTTTGATACTTCTAATAATCTACTTCTTCCATCTTTGTTCCCAAACACAGAACATCTATATTTGTAATTTTCCTGAGACACTTCATTCCCTTCCTCTCCCCAGCCACCATTTTTTTCTCTCTACTCACTTGTCTTGCACAATCATTGATTTTATGTCTCCAACCTGCGCACTGAGTTTATTCTGTAGTCTAAAGCAGTGATGTAGAAATGACAGAAAGAATGTAAACCCACCCATCTTCCCCACCCTACGCTGGCTATACTGTTCTCTGACTTCTGTAGTGGTTCCCATTTCCCTATGAGCTGTTTTCAGACTCCTCCCATGCATCCTAGGAGCATTTCCCTACTTATTACATAGGCCAGCCCCTTTAGTTAGTACTAGAAGCAGTTCATTCAAAAAGCAAGCAGTGTGGAATTCAAAAGGCTGTTATCACCGAAAGTCTGTAGACACAAAGAATGGCTACTAATGTAAAAGATCACTTAGTGTAATGGAGAAGGTAGGCATGTAACTTAATAAAACATGAAAGAAAAATGCTGTAGTCGTGATGGGTAAATGGTACTCTAGAATGTCATAGGAAAGCTGACTGACAAACTCTGCAGGGAGCTTGGATGGAGTCAAGAAAAATTTCACAGAGAAATTGCTTTATCAGAATATTACAAAATAAATAAGAATTTATTAGGCAGACAGTATTAGGCACACAACAATTCAATGTGTGGGGATGGGGGGGGAGGGAGTAAAAAACAAAACTGAGGGTTTTATAATAAAAAGTAGGAGTCCCTAGGTCCACTTTCTACCTCCAGTTATTCTTCTCAGAAGGAATTACTTATTTTTATTTTGTGAAATTTAATTTTCATTTACTTTTGGAATATTCTATGCAGTCACATGGTTCAAGATTTGAAAGGTTCAAAAGGATAACCTCCTGCCACTGTTCCTCAAGCACATGATTTTCTTCTTAGGTGGCAACCAATAAGTCTTGTGTGGAACTCCAGGTATATAACATACACATACATATACGGGGTTTGACAATTAAGTTCACGAACTTGTTGCAATGATGTTGCTAAACTTTTTTTACATCAGAGGGATTATTCATTATGAATTTGTATCAACTGGACAAACAGTTAACAAAGTTTACTATTTGGAAGTGCTGAAAAGGCTGCATGAAAAAGTTAGAGTACCTGAACTTTTCACCAACAATTCATGACTCTTGCATCATGACAATGCACCAGCTTTACACGGCAGTGTCTGTAAGGGAGTTTTTAGCCAGTAAATAAATAACTGTATCGGAACACTTTCCCTACTCACCTGATCTGGCCCCCAATGACTTCTTTCTTTACCCGAATATAAAGGAAATATTGAAAGGAAGCCATTTTGATGACATTCAGGACATCAAGGGTAATAGGACGACAGCTCTGATGGTTATTCCAGAAAAAGAGTTCCAAAATTGCTTTGAAGGGTGGACTAGGCCCTGGCATTGGTGCTTCCCAAGGGGAGTACTTTGAAGGTGACTGTAGAGATATTCAGCAATGAGGTATATAGCACTTTTTCTAAGATGAGTTCTCAAACATAATTGTCAGACCTCGTGTGTATGTACACACACACACACACACACACACACACACACACACACACGTTAAATAAAGTGCCTTTCAATAGAAACATAAAACCAGAGGCTTGCAAGAACTAAACCCTGTACTTCCCCCAGGAACAATGATTTAGTATTTACTAATATAGCACTCACAGGAAATTTATAGAACATAACTACTGAAAATGACAAGAATCCACTGTACTCCCATACTTTCTATCTCCCTGTCTCACTCCCGCCCTCCATTTGGCTTGGCGTTTCTAAGTATCAGAAAATTTCGAGGACTCAGCATGATAGAGGACTGTCTGCTGCTGCCCCTCATGGTGATAACTAGTTGCTGGCTGCTCCTACCATGCTTCCGCAGATAGTACTACTGTACCTGCTTTTTCTTTTTCAGTAATTTATTTAAGAACACTTTTCTGATGGGCTTTTATCTTTTTTTTTCCTCATATGTATACCTTATGGCATAGATATCCAATTCCTTATTTTTTTTTTGGGGGGGGGGGTTCTGGGAGTGATCCCCTTTTAACTTCTTGAGTTGAAAGTCCTAGAATGTTCATTCA